GACTAAGTAACAGACACCTAAGGCATGATGGGGCTACAGTTCTTGACATTAAATTCTGCCTGCCTTGCAGCTTATATGAGCCAACTGGATCAGCTAGTATGCTTGGCAAGGTGTATATTGATAACTTGACAGTGTGAATGGAAACTCAGTATTTATGCATGGTTTGATGCACTTGATCCAGTTCTTGAACTAGTCCAAATACAAAAGTGAAGCTGTTTTGTTCTTTAAATAAAACAAAAAACAAAAACACATGCTTTAGAAAATAGCTGCTTTAAAATATTTATGTCAGGGGAAGTGTAGCAGGCACATATGTTTATTTATTTGAAAATTGGTGGGGTGGGGTGGGGCGCCAGAAGATAGCCTCTCCTAGTGTGCAAAAAAAACCTGGGGCCGGCCCTGGCTGCAGCAACAGGGCCTGTGGAAAGGAGCTATATGCTTCCCTGGTTATTTTGGTTGAAGTCTCTGGTTCTCTTCTTTGCAAAGAAAGCGCACACAGACACACAGAGGACTATGCTGCACTATTGCTCCAAATGGGTGAAAGCCTTAAATTTATTTTCTTAAAATTAAACTTTCTTAAAACATAGTAAATCAGGACTAGTTGTATTTAGACTGTTGTTGTTTTGCAGTTCGAAAGCAAGAAATTGCAAGTAGATAAATAGGTACCACTTCGGTGGGAAGGTAACAGCATTCTGTGCGCCTTGGTATTTAGTCATGCCGGCCACATGACCACGGAAACGTCTTCAGACAGCATTGACTCTTTGGCTTTGAAACGGAGATGAGCACCACAACCCTAGAGTCGGATTCGACTGGCTTTCGAGCAGGGAACCTTTACCTTTACCTTTACCTCAAGTGCAGCCGGAGCACCTACAGCTCCCCTTGCTTCCCCGCATACCCTCTAGTGGCAAATCCTGTTGGGATACACAAGGTCGACAGTGCACCAACTTGGAAGATCAGAAGCACAGCCTATAGGGGACAGCTGAAGGTCTACCAGTTAGCATAGATAGATTAGGGATTTCCCACAATTACAAATTATGTCCTTTTTTATTGAATACTGTGCCATTTACTGGGTTTTTTGGTTTATTGCTTTTGTTTGTGGATTTTATGTTGTAAGCCGCCCTGAGCCCAGTCGTGGGATAGGGCAGGATATACATTAATCCAACTGTCTAAAGAAAATAACTCTGTTTATTATGTAATAAATAAATTAAGTAATAAACGGAGTTATTTTCTTTAGACAGTTGGAGCTCCGTTCCTCTGCATATTTAAACTGCCCACAAGTGCTTCCTTCATGGGAACATGGGTGGAACTCACAGAGGCTGTCGCATATGATTGTCACAGTGTTTATTTCACAATGCTGTTAGGCTGTGGTGGTTCCCTGGTAAGCCAGAAAACCATGTGTAGGACACGTGATGACCTACATCCATTTTCTCCTTCATGGAAGTTGCATTTTTGTAAGAAATACAGCACATTCCTCCACTGTGGCCCTACCACGGAGGACAAGTAACCTTCTGGCATTACTGGGAATGGATGCAGCATCCAATAATACTCCCCTCTGTCTTTTCCCCCTTCAGGGTTCCACATGGGGGCTTACCAGAATTTGATCCCTATGTGGAACCCCCCTACCTCAAGTTATGTTACTGTCTGTGTTCTCCCAGTATTCCCTCTAATGGTGTTCTTCTCAACCAACTTATTAATTTATGTATTTACTTCATTTATGCCCCACTTTTCTCCCCAATGGGGCCCAAAATGGCTGATGTTATGTAGGTAGACCGCCACCAGGGGTCCGTGGACAGGCCAGAGCTTGGATCCGAAAACAAAGGAAACTTCGGATCCTGGATTCCCCAGCCCCAACCAATAGCCACCTTGGCGGGACATCTAAACCCTCCAATGGGAGTGGGGGGGTTGCTGGTGGATATGTATATAGTTGGCCCTGTTGGCCGTTAGAGTTAGTCTTTGTCTATATGAAGTACAATAAACATGTGCTACAGTATGTCGTTGTCCGAGTCCTCCATGCGGCGAACCCAGTACTTTTCAGCTGATGTCCTTCTCCTTTACTCCAGTTTATTCTCACAACAACCCCGTGAGGTAGGTTAAGTTGAGAGTGCGTAACTGGCCCACAGTGACTCAGCAAGTTGCTATGGCAGAGTGGAGATTCAAACCTGGGTCTCTCATAACCCCTCCACTAACCCTAACCACGACACCCACCTGGCTTACTGCATGAGATTGTTTGTTCTTAATCCCTTGCATGTCTTCATCCTGGTGTGAAGCCCAAAACAAAAGCAGTGACAAGGAGGGGAGACTCCATGACATTCCAACCCAGTGAGGCCCCTCCCGTCCCCGAAGTCTGCTCTCCCCTTGCTCCAGCCCCACAAATCTCCAGGAGGGCGGGGTTTGGGAAAGGACTTGGGGTCTCCAGGAGGGCGGGGTTTGGGAAAGGACTTGGGGTGTGTGTGTGTGTGTAACTCCACAGCGCCCACCTTCCAAGATGGCCATTCTCTACAAGTGAAGTGATCTCTGTTGGCTGGAGATCAGTTGTGATGGCAGGAGATCTCCATCCACCACCTGGAGGTTGTCAAGCCTAATCATTCATTTCTTTAATGCTCCCCCATGTAAGACCTCGCGTTCTCCTCTAGCTCTCTGCATGCTGAGCTAGTTTTCTACTAGTAGGGAAGCACTGACCTAGAGGGGACGCTGGAAAGAGGCAGGCCTTCCCCCGCAATCTGAAGTGACATAGTCCCTTCTACCACCACTTCAGCACTTTGCCCGCTAACTCTGGTATGGATGGACCAAACCAACCTTTCCAGGGGGCGCAGGTTCTGCCACGTGCTCAGAGTGTTCTGGGGAGCCCCTTTGACTGGGAAGTTTCTCTAAGGCGCGGACTGCGCTGGAGCTGGGGGCGTGAGCGCGGCTCTGTGCTCCGGCCGCGGTGCTGCTGGGACACCTGCTGGGAGGGCGCCGCAGCGGAGGCAAGGCGGGCACTCGGGGTGCCTGGCGGGCTCCGGGGAGCTGCAGGCGGACGGGTTGGGGGGTAATCTGTCGCCCTTCCCCAGAGGGCCGCGCTTGGGGGCGGGACTGGAGAGCGAGGGCTGCGGAGTGTCTCTCTCTCTCGCCCCGCCTGATGGGGCGGGAGTGCCGCGACGGGCTTCCCCCTGCCTCGGTCCCCCTGCTCGGGCTTCGGCTCCGGCGGGCGGCGGGGCGGGGCGGCAGCGGGGAGATGTTGGACGGCGGCAACGGGACGTGCTCGGATTGCCGCTTCTTCCACCACGAGGCGCGCCACTCCTTGGCCGCCGTGCTCATCGTCACCATCGTGGTGGACCTCCTGGGCAACGCGCTGGTCATCGCCTCGGTGCTGAGGAACCGCAAGCTCCGCAACGCCGGTGAGTGCTGCCGGCCAGGCAGGCGGGCAGGCGGAGGGGGTCGAGAGGGTTGCCCCGGCTCGGCTCCGGGGGCTCCACTGGAGGAGGAGGAGGAGGAGGACAAGCGGGACGATCGCTCGGAGCGGGAACACTGGCGAGCGTTTCCCCGGGGTTCGCTTGCTTGCCGTCACCTGCGGGCCCCGAAGTCGGCATTGCCCGGTCCCAAAGTGAGGAGAATGTTAGGGGGCTTCGGTTCCAGGCCGGGGATCTGGGGAAGGAAGAACGTCGGCATAGATGCCCCAGAGGCTTAGCGAGGAGGAGTGAGGAGGTAATGAAATGAGAGGTCGCTGCCCAGCTCCTAGATTCGCAGTCAGGTGTAGAAGAAGGCTCAGATTTTCCCCATCAGGAAGAGACAAAAGGCATAATAATTATATTGGCAAGCAGCCGTTTGAAGGGCTTTTTAAAAATATATATTTTAGGGATTGCCAGACGTCCCCCACCCCCCTGTTCCTGGGACACCTCCTCTGCACCCCATTTGTTAATCAGGGAAGACGTGACCAGGTACAACTCGCATGGCAAACCTGAGTGCCCCTATTTCAGGAACCCCTGGCTGGTGGCTTTCTTGTGCTGGGGGTGCATGGGTGGTGGTGGGTGGGACGTGTCTTGCATTAAACCGCACGTTCTTCTGGCTGCCGTCTGCAGGACTTTGGGACCCACAAGAGGTCTTTACCCCAGAGTATGTTTTCACTGTCAAGGCCCAGTGCTGAAACAGGTAAAGACATGATGAAGAGTGATCCGGTGCAAGTACAGAGTGCTCCCTCCCCCAGTGACTGAGGTTACTGCAAATTTGGGATGTCGTTGACAAATCAGGTGTCAAAGACAGAGGAGGGCGAGTCTTAGGCAGCGTTCATCCCATACATTCATCCGTCCCTTTAGAAGCGAAGTCCTGCCGGCTGCCTTTCTGGTTGAGATGCTGAGGAATGCTTTTGATGAAATACAAGCAAGTGTTTCAGAGGCTACAGACTGGTGAGAAATATAACAGCCTTAGTGCACAGATGTGAATTTCAGAGCCTGCCTAGAGCAGAAATTCATCCTGCAGCTGCTTTATCTTTCCTGGATAGTTGGGCACTTAGCGCATTTGATCAGATCTTGAGACAGGGATGTGATTTCAGGCGTGGAGGCGTAGGAATGGGCTCTCTTCCCAAATCTGTTTCAAATGATAACTCAGCTGTGAGATTGATTGCTTTGAGGTGAATGGTTACGGGTGTGAAATCCATCTTGCAAACTACAGCTGTGAAATCCGTTTCTGGGAGAGTAAAGCAAAGGGATGGGAGGACAATTCAGGGCTCTCGGGACTTGCTTGCAGTTCTATTCATGCCACTGACTTCTAGCAGGCTGAAGTGTTCTGTAACCAGGGGCTGAGGAGGGGGCTGAGAACAGAGGTCAAAAGACACCCCCCCACACACTAGGGGTTTGTGCTGTATTAATGAATCATATTGCTGCTTGTCTTAATTGCATGTAACGCAGACCACAAATGACTGTGGAAGGGACAGAACTTTGCACTGAACTAGCCTGCAAAAGCCACGGACCTTGCACTCCAAGCTGAAGCGTGTCTTTGGATTGTAAGTGGCTTGCTAAATGTTAGCATTCCAGTTTAATCCCAAGGGACCATTTGCGGTGGTTATATTGCTCAGATTAAGCAGATGAAGGCAATTTTCTCCCTTCTGATTTGGTAACAGTCATCAAAGCTCGTGGCAATAACTTCAGGATGCCATTGGCTACAAATCCCTAAGAAGGCAGCTGTGTTAGCCAAGTTTGTGTGTGAGAGAGAGCCAGTTTGGTGTAGTGGTTAAGAGTGGTGAAATGGGTTTGATTCCCCTCGCTTCCACATGAAGCCAGCTGGGTGACCTTGGGTCAGTCACAGCTCTCTCAGAGCTCTCTCAGCCCCACCTACCTCACAGGGTGTCTGTTGTGGGGAGAGGAAGGGAAGGTGATTGTAAGCCCCTCTGAGACTCCTCCAGGTAGAGAAAACAACTCTTCTTCTTCTTTACTCTGTTGCGGCAAAACCCAAAAGGGGTCCTGTAACTCCAGTTGTAGTTGTCAGGCACAGCTGTTGTGAATGGTCACTGTGCTTGCTCCATATACTTCTGACTTGTGCAAAGATAAGTCATTGGCTGCTATCACACACACTAAATAATCCACTTTCAGTGCACTTTCCAGCTGGATTTTTACTGTGTGAACTGGCAAAATCCAGTTGGAAGGTACATTGAAAGTGTATTGAAGCTGGATTATTTAGTGTGTGTGACCACAGCCATAGACTCTTCCTCTTGCATTTCATGGGACTGTTTTGTATTCCTCCCCACCTCTGTGCACATTTGCATGTATGTATGCCTGCCGACTAAGGATTCACTTCATTCATCTGATGAAGTGGGCTCTAGTCCACAAAAGTTTATACCTCTTAATAAATCTGTTCATTTTAAAGGTGCCGCAGTACTCCTTAGGATTGCATTGGGAGGATCTTCTCAAGAGTCAAACGTTAAATAGCTTGAAGACCCTCAGTGGCAGAGCATGTGGTTTGCATGCGGCAGATTCCAGATTCGGTCTCTGGCATCTCCAATTAAAGCATCTCAGGTAGCTGGAGCTGGGAAAGACCTTTCTCTGCTTGAGACCCTAGAAAGCCACTGCCAGTCAGAGTCGACCATACAGAACTACATGGACCAGTGGTTTAACTCCATATAAGTGGTATGACTCCATATGTTCTAGGTTGGATCCAGACCAAATAGGCAGTTTCCATCAATTCCCCCTTCCCACTGCAGACACCTCATGTCATCCCCCGGGGTCCCCTATCCCAAAGGTGCAGCAGTTTGTGGAGATTAGTGAGCTGCAGAGGGAGTGGAGAGGTGAGAGGGTTCTGTTAGGGAGATGGAAAGTTTATTCTGGATCTACCCTGTTTGGTCCAGCTTGGGCGTGAATGTCCGTGTTTCTCCTATACAGCTCAGCATCTCTGCTGTGGGTTATAGGGGACCAGTTGTGTTAAGAAAGCGTGTGAGATCTGAAATCTGCTTCTTTTTGAAGCCTCCGGTAGGTAGGAAACAGCCCAGGAGAGAGAACTCAAATAACAGATTGATGTTTGGTGCTTTGGCATGTATCACTTGACCGGGGAGCCCTTCTGTTTGAGTGTGAGGTTTACGGGGTAATAAAACGAGTCTCAGTATAGTGCAGCTGTTCGGAGACTTCCACCGCTTCCTCGGATCAATATTTCTTATTTCAAAGGGCTGCCTTTTTCTGGATCATTTACTTTTTTCCCCCTTGCGCTTTTCTTTCTCTTTCAAAAGTAAAAGACCATAAGGCTGCGATAGTTTCATTCTGACCCTGCATGGTGCAGGCTGATTATTTCTGATTACAAGTACTGCTGGATTTTTTAAAAGGGGGACTGAAAACTGCACAATGGATTCCCTCCTTGGGAACAAAGCTGCCTGACTAGGAGGCTGTTGTGACAGATTGTGAAAGGCTCGTTCAATAGGTGCTGCGTGTGACTTTGTTTCCCTAGTGTTTTTATATAGGGAGACTTTCATAAGTTGGCAGGTTTGGGGGGTTTCGGCAACTGAGAGCAGTAGGGGAGGAGACCCTAAATGTTTGTATTTTGTAATTATAGCATTTAAACCTCCTTGGTATTTGCATATTTTCCAATAGCGTAGCATTTTTTAGTAAATTCTTTAATGTGGTTTGGGAGGTAGTTGGCCCAATTCACACAAAGAAAGATTGCTTGCTTGTTTCACAGTTGGCAAATCAGAATTGCACTCTTTAATTCAGAAGATTCTAAAGACTAATGTTCAAATGAAACCAGAGACTTTTCTTTTGGGACTAATGAATAGACAGCTAGAAAAAAAATCATGGGACGTTGTTTTTATACATGACGACAGCAGCGAGATTATTATACGCAAAAAAATGGAATAATTCGACGCTATTTACTACAGAGGAATGGTTGGTGAAGATGATGGAACTCGCAGAGATGGATACACTTACTTACTGGATCAGAAAAAGGCAGAAGAAACGTCACAGGGTGTCCGTGTTCTGCCCAGGACTGTGTGTCCCTTGATCATGAGAGGAAGCTGGGCTCATGGAGCCACTGATGCTCTCTGTCTTTCAGGTCATTGGTATAATAACTTCCCAAGTCAAGTCCAAATGCTTTTTTTCGCTGGCCTGAAGGAAAACAGATTAGAATGTGTTCAGAAGGAATTACTCTTGGAACTAACATTAAGAGAACCAATGAGACGCACATTTTCACAAAGCTTAAATTGCCTTCATGCTATTCCCTGTACAGCTGTGTGTTTGACGGCTGCAGAAGTTCATCATACCTAAGATAAAGTTTAAATGTGTGCGTGTGCATGTGCTTGCATTAAGGTTGCCAGCTGGCCAGTGGGGGGGGGGATGTCCTGTCCCTTTAACAGAGCTTTAATATGCAGAAATGGGCAGTCGAATCTTTTTGTGGTATGGAGCTAAATAGCATAATCGCTGCAAATCAAACTGATGTTTTAAGGGCAGCTAAAGCAACCAGTTTAAAAGTTGGCAACTTTAACTTGCGTGCACAGATGTTGAAAAGGAAGCATCTCAGCCTGCAATCTTTTAGTACATCCCCTTGGCCTTGGATATCACAAAGCTGGGTCTCATTAGCTTGGATGTTGGCTTGGATACTACATGGAACCCCTTGGCAAGAGCCTAAGGCTAAGTGCAAGCCATAAGTTTTATAAAAACGAATGATTTTTTATACTTAGAGGCAGGGTGTAAATAGCCTAAATAAATTCTACTCTGGTCATCCTGCAAGCTAACATTTTCCTCCAGTAGCTTAGAAAGCAAGCAAATAGAGAATGAGCGATAGCAAGAGGTTAATAAAAGGAAGATAATTCACACATCTGATGTTCCAGTATCCAGAAACCCAGTAAAATCAACCCCACTACCGAAACCTCTATGCCCTTCTTTTGCCCGTGGGAAGGCAAACTGAGGGTGGGATAAGAGACACT